TGTCCCGTCTGGGGTAAATACTCCCCCCACATAGCCCTGGAGTTACACCTGATGGTAACCGGCAGGACCTCTGAACGTCAAGTCTGTCTTCATGGGTGTGCCTCTTGGATGGGTGGCCCCTAGAGGTGGTGGGGAGATACCCCGACCCCTCCCTGTGGATGGTGGGGAGGCCCCAGTGTCTGCATTGGTGTAGGATGCAGCTTTCCCCGGGACCGCTGGATCTGTGGGGCTTCCAGTTGGGGAGCCCCTAGTGGGGAATGGGTCTGGGGTAAAGCACCTCCTAGGGCAGTGGGGCCTCCCCAGTTTGGGGGACATGTGGAGACACTGGAGTTTGTCTAACTAGCCCTTTGTGAGATAGGAGACTGCTCTGACGCCCTGAGTGGCTGTGTAGCAGCCGGGGTTTTGGGATGTCTGTTTTTCGAGATAGTGGGAAGGGTTATTGAGGGGAGAGAGAGACTTTAGCAGGAGGGAGACACACTGAAGTACTGCCTGGAGGAGCTGGGCAGTGACCTACAGGATGCCCTCATGAGACACAGACAGCTGTTGAGAAGAGAGTGACGCCCCGGGAAGATTGCTGAGCAGCAGCGAGGGAGGAGGCAGCAGGAAAATCTGCGTTGCAAGGCCGTGGGTGAGGGAGTTGGGGGTGGGGGTGGGGGTAGGAGCGGTGTCCGCAGCCCTGGAGATGGTAGAGCAGATGTCGGGAGAGGATAAGGGCGTGGGGCCCAGGGCCAAACTGCCGCTGAGGCCAACTCCAAGGCACCAGACACTCCCTCATTAAAGGCTACGTGGTTGTAATTAAGGAAATAAAAAAGCTACATCTTTGGGCACCTCAGGGGAGGAGCTGCCCCTCCTCAGGTTGTGGAGCACTCCATGCTCTGTGCCTTTTATGCAGGGTGAGCTGATGGACATGGGCATCCGGTTTCAGTTCAAGCCGTCGGAATCTCTTCCTACATGGCTTTTGTGTCTCTGGGATATGGAGGTGGAGAACATTGTTATGCTGGGTTCTGAATCAGGTAGACTGGCTTCACTGATGATTCTCCTTTCTCTCCAGTCACAGTTGCAAGATGCCCATCATTCCTAAAGTAATCAGGCACTTGTGGATTGGCTGACAGCAGCCACCAGGACTGTTTCGCCTAATCAGGGTGATTTACCATACTTACCCACTAGCTGGAAAACGTATGCAGAGCTCCAGGAGGTGTCACAGGACTTAGACATGAATTATATCATCTATAGTATGGACCTCCATGGCCCCGGTGAGGTGCTGTGTACCACAGGAATGAGAAATCTAGTTTTCCATGCAGCTTCCATGTCTCCTTAGGTATCTAGTGACTGTTCTTGTCACCCACATAGTGCAGCACAAGAGTGAGGCTACTCATAGTACAAGAGAGCTACGGGTGGTTGAAACAATAAGAGCAGAGAAGGAACTACAGGCTAAGACTGAAAGGAGAGGTGCTAAGAGCCCCATGAAAGTCTCGAGGACCCAGATGTGGGTTGATTTGCTAAAGTCCAGGGTCGTGAAAGAAAAACTTGATGGGCAGCCCAATAGGATCTTGTTAGAACTGTGGCATGAATTAAAGCCAGAGTAGCACTTCCAGCTGCTCAGGTCCAGGACACGGAATCCAGAACCAAAGCCACATGTCCAACCTGTGTCCCTGCAAGACTTCCTGGGGACAGGGATTAGGATCCGTCTGGATCCTCAGCCCCACAGGAGGATGACTGGTTGTTGTGGTTTGACTGAGCATTGGGTCAAGGTCCCAGCCTTGGGGGATGAGGTGGGGACTGCAGGCCCCATGTAGAATTAGCAAGTTACTGGTCACCTGTGAATGAGCAATGTGTCTTGGTGCTGTTGGACTGAGGAGCTGAATGTTCTGTGATTTCTGGGAACTCTGAGCATTTCCTTGGGACCCTTGCTGTGAAAGATGGCTATGGGGGTAAGGCAATTAGAGTGAAGAAAGCCCCAAACCCATAGGGGATAGAGTGTTTATGCCCAAAGTAGTATACTGTGTACATCTCTCCCATTCCTGAATCTATTTGGGGGATTGATATCCTGCAGGCTCTGTGGTTACAGAACACTGCAGGTGAGTTCAGACTGAGGGTATGTGTGGTAAGGAGAGTTCTGAGGGGACATGATCAGCACCCACCTGTAGATCTGCCTGTATCTCAGTGGGTGTCAAATACTGAGCACTATAAATTACCTGGGGGACACAAAGAAATTGGAGATACTCTATAGGAGTTGGAGAAGGTGGGCATCATAAAGCCCACTCATAGTCCTTTCAATTCCCCAGTGTGGCCAGTGAAAAAGCCGGACAGCTGTTAGCGCATGAGTGTGGTTTACGGGGAACTGATTAAAGTCACTCCTCCTTTGCAAGCTGCTCTCCTCTCCGTAGTAGCCCTTATGGACACCCTCAGTCATGAAGTAGGGGCATTTCATTATTTTGTGGACCTTATTAATGCTTTCTTCTCTATTGACATAGCACAGGAAAGTCAGGAACAGTTTGCCTTCATGTGGGGAGCCTGGCAGTGCACATTCACAGTCTTAGAGTTCGAATGGGCAGTTCCTAGGCTGCTGCAACATCTACAGGAGAAAGGATGGGCTGTGAACAGCACCAAGGTACAGGGATCTGGTTTGTCTATGTAGACCTTGCAGTTGTCTCATTGGGTAAAATGAAGGTTGTCCCAGAAGCAGTCACAGACATTTCCTGGCTTTCCCTACCACTACCACTGTGGCAGGATTACAACAGATTTTGGGTCTGTTGGGCACTGGAGAGTGTTCGTCCTGCACCTGGCACAAATTCTGGAGCCCTTATACTGGTTGGTGCAAAAGAGCATCAGGTGGGTCTGGGGTAAAACATGTGCAGCTGCTTTTAGTGCAGGTGAGCCAGCAGTCAGGCCGTACAGGCCTTGAGTTTAATGGACTCACCAAGGCCCTGTGTACTAGATATTCATGCAACCGAAGACTGTTAAGGATGGGGCCTTTGGCAGTGGCTTGAATGGACATGACAACCTACTGAATTCTGGTCACAACTAGGGAAAGGAGCAGAGGTCCAGTGCACCTTGAAAGAGAAGCAACAGGGTCTTGTGTACTGTGCCTTGCTGACAATTGAACCCATCACTGGAACAGCTCTGACCATGGTAATAACCATCTATCCCATTGTGGGGTAGGTGTGAGATTGGATCCAAAGGCCACGGAGTGGCATTGCACAGATGCATACACTGGCCAATTGGGGTGCATATTTAATGCAGTGTAGTGCCCTCTCTTCTAGCCCCTGATGTAGAGAACTCCAGCACTTATTTTGGCCAGTGACATATTCCAGTGAAAAACAGGAAGAACTTGGTATTGAGCTATTGGTAGCCAAGAGTCTTTTGAGGATGGAAAAGCCCCTGTCCCTGAAGTTGCTTTATATAGAGACAGCTATGGTTGTGGGCAGCTCCAAAGTGGAGGGCTGTGGCTTTTCATCTGAAGATTGAGACCATGCGGATGGAGGACGGATTGGGGAAGAGCAGTTACAGGGCTGACCTGCTGGCAGTATGGCTCCTGATCACCCAGGAGCCCGTTCCTATAGTTGTCTGCACTAACCACTGGGCCATCTATCGGGGCTTCACCCTGTTCCTGCTGACATGATAACATGCCGACTGGATGGTTGGTCACTGGCCCCTTCAGGGGCAAGTGTTATGGCAACATTTATGGGCATGTGGTCAGACTGAAAGAGTTACTGTATGTCATGTGACTAGCCATTTGCCTTTGGCATCCCCAGGGAACGATGAAGCAGACACATTGGCCCAGGTGCTTTTGCTAGAAGGAAAGCCTGCCTCCGATGTGACCCAGTGGTTATATCAGCATTTGTTCCCTATGGGTCAAAAGACAATGTGGGCTGTACCCCTTTGGGGGGGCTTGCCGTTGTCCTTTGAAGGAGTCAGCAGAGCTTGAAAGGAGTGCCTTGTGTGCTCCAAGAGGACTTACACTGAGTTGTGCAGCAACATGTGAGAAAATTATAGGGGCTGATACCCCTTGTCAGGTGACAAATGGAGTATATTGGGCTTCTCCTGTGTCAGAAGGGCACCAATATGCCATAGGTTGTGTGGACACAGCTATTGGACTGTTTGCTTTTCCTGCATGTTGTACAGACCAGCACCAAAAGGGTCCTAGAGGGTCTCTTTGCATCCTGTGGCCAGCCTCGTTTGATGGAGAGAGATCCACGCATCCACTTTCCTGGACATGGATAATGAGATCAAGATCCCATTCCAGCCTCTGTCCAATCACAGGAACACTCTCCTACATGCATCCCACCTCATAGACAAAAATTGCCTATGCTGGTGTCATTAAACATGTATCTTTTTGCCCTTAAGGGTATTTTCTTATAAAATCCATGTGTGTGTACCTGCCTCTGGCTACAGCTGCTGTGTGGTGATTGCTCTGAACTCCTGACGCATTCAGCTACTGACTGCCTGTGGAATTGGTGAGCTATGGACTAAGTGTGCATAGGACTTTGAACTTGGTGAATTCTACAGCTTGAGGAATATCATGATTTTATTCCCATTGATATTGTATGTTTTTAGTCTGGTTACAGTGCTCCAGTTTTCTCACACAGAGCCATTGTGGAAGATGGTGAGTGAGTTGATTGTGCGGCGAGATTTCTGGGTGGGTGGGCTGTGGGTAAAATTACAATATTTCTGTAATCTCCAGCCAGGACTTAGGGCATCTCCATATCAACAGGTATTTCCAAGGGGTGGAGAGAAGTTGTCCATCTCCATACAATGGGTAGTTACAGGGGATATCTGGACTTGAGAGGTTGTGTGGCACCCCTTTTTGCAGCTGGGTCATGAGAGACATGGGCAAGTACATGTGGACAGCTGCTTGTATGCAATACAAGGGTTTCCCCCACTTTATTTCTCCCTTTGACTGATTTTTGTTTCAAAGGTATTTTTTCCAAGACTAGGAAAATATCTCCTCTTGGGAGTTACAGTCAGATTGTTCCAGAAAGCTCATAATGAGAAAACTCTTGGCTGACTTCTACACAGTTAGGCACCTTGGACAAACCTGGGCACAGCACTCTATGATCTGGGTCGGGAGGTGGACAGGCACGCTTTCCCAAACCAACACCTGCTAGCAGTGGCTCAGTGTATGGTGTAGATCCTAGGCAGTTCATCTGAAAGTGTTTTGGGATTGGATCAGAGGAGAAAGAGGAGTCCAGAGTCATTGGCTTGGCTGTGGGCCCATCTCCCTGTGGAATGGATTTGACTTCCCTAAGATGAAATGATATTACTTGAATAGGTTAACTGTTCCTGTGGACAAAAATGATCCCTGTGCTTCCTTAAGAGAAAACCAAGAAGGAGAGTTTAAGAAAATAGGTCCTGTGATTAGACTTTCACTGTGGGCAGGGTTCATGCCCTGGTGGGAGTCCAGGTGTGCCCCAGGTGGGAGGGGTATGTATGAGCTCTAACTCTGTGCCAGACTGATGATTGGTGGTTTCATTTCATGATTCAATAATCCCTAATTCTGCAAAATGTCAAGTTTATTGCTTCTGTTTCAGGTCATAGTTAAGAAATGGTATATATAATAAGCTATTATATTTAAACTCTAGAGGAAAAAGTGATTTTTTTTGATACTGGAACACATTTAATGACCAGCAGCTGAGATTCAGGGGTCCTAACAAAGAAATTGATTTTACAGTGATATCTGTTTAGACAAACAAGCTAGGGGAAGGAAATTCACAGCTCTATTGAGGCTGAAACTTGCAAGGTCAACATCCCTTTTAAAAATCAGGGCCCTACCCTTGCTTCAGGGGCCATCACTTTCCTTTCTAATAGGTTTGCATATGTCTAATGAAAAATAAGTATGAAAGTTGGACCCAGTTCATGCTCATATTCCCCCAAATTATCTCAGATTCCTTCATGGATGTATATTTCTTACAAAGGCTGTCTGAGAATTCACACTTTGCTACAGTTTTTGTCTCAAACAGTTTGGTGTTAAAGAAAGCACAGCTGTGCATTCCCTCCTTCCTGCAGGTAATAATACGCAAGGCTGGTCAAGTAGGCAGCAGGCCTGTTCCAGGTAGCCTGCAAAGCTGAATGTCATTTCTATCTGGCTCATTCTATACTGTTTGCTGACCCCTGAGTTATCTGGTCCCTTGCCTTGGACTAACCTTTATATCATTAGCTCCCTGAGCTGGTTGGTATGTAAACAATCAGCACAAATAGACATTTGTAAAGAACCATTTACTCATATATGATGTTCATTCTTTAGTATCATCTTGCCACTTTTTGACCCCTTCTATCCTAGATGAAATTACAAAAGTCTTCACAGAATTCATATCCCACTCATAGTAAGTACTCCATCATTCTTATTGTTTGTTGAACTGGAATATATTTGACAGTATTCAAGTCCTTTTCGTCAATCACAGCACACCACATAATTGCAGCCATGCAGGCAGCTCTACACCAGGTTCCCATTGTACAACATTCTTCTCCAAAACAAACTCTCCATGAGGGCCTTCAGCTTTTGATGGCGAAAGAGCCAAGTGCATGGGGGTCTCTGCTCCTTCCTCTGGGCTTTTCAAGGCCTCGGGTCCCCTATGTCAGTTCTGACCCATCCGGGACAGCAGGAATTGAAGAGTATCTTGTCCCCTGTCCTCTGCTCACTCAGTTTCCAGGCCTGGATTCTGGACAGGTCTGTGAGGCCGACCTTTGACAATGCATAGGGAACCAATTTCATAGAAGGCCAGCCCTCCTTCAAGTGCACTCCATTCTTTGTATCTTCCACAAACTTGTTCATGAGCCCCACCAGCTCCTCCTCTGTGATGGTCTCACTTGTAAACTGCTGCAGTTCTGGGCTGCAGCGTTTAAGAGCTACCAAGCTCAGTGTGCTAGAGAGATTCACCACTCTGCCTAAAATTCAGCACATATGAGTAAGTGGAAAGGCATTCATAAGAATGATAAATACCAAATATGTCTGAGCTTTGTTCTTTGAGAGATCATTACTAGCTGCTGTGAGTATTAATGAGGACAGCCTGTGTGAGTAAAGGACATGATGCCATCTTGAAACCTGCCACAAGTGTCACTTTAAGATGTCAGGAAGTGTTCTCATGGGAAGGCAGTGACCACAACTTCCAGAAGAAAATGAGAATGTGTATAATGAACATGCTAAGGGTTGTAAGGAGGTGATCTTTGCATTCATGAGAAGACAGCTTTGTTCCCCCTAAGGCAGCTTGGGTCCACCTGTGCACCTTATAGTCACAGGGTTAGTGCTGTATGAACAGGTGTCTACTGACCAAGAAAGAGCCGGTGGGTTTAGTGATGGTGGTTCCAAGGTGAATGCACAGCACCTGGTTTGGAAGGAGGCTGCTCTGCTCCAGCCGGGGTAAAGAACACAGCTCAGTGGACTGAGTGGCATGCTTTTCTGTCTAGTTTTATGAACTCGTGAGTTGTGACTAGGGGCCCAATAATATGGTCATCGTATGGGGCAGTGGAAATGAGGACATTTAAAGGGATGCTTGAAAAAGGAATGGCCTGCTGCCCCATGCTGCCACAGCAATGAGGCTTGAGCACATTGTGCCTGTCGCAAAGAATGTATTATATGATTCTTCTTACATGGGATGCCCAGACCAGGAATATCTGGACACAGAATGCAGAATAGTGCCTGCTTAGGGAATGTGGGAAAAGATCGTGAATGGCTAAAGGGCGCAGGATTTATTTTTGGGGCACTGCAGTGCTGTAATCTTGAATGTGGTGTTATTTCCGCAACTGGGCATGAATATTAAATGTCAGTGAATTGTAGAATTAAGTGGGTGAAGTGCATGGTATGAGAATTATATTTCAAAAAGATGTTAAAAGTGTAAAGAAATTACACATTTCTCATTAATAATTTTGGAAAATATACTGGGTATTCATAAAAATGAATTTATGTTAACATTAATGATAATTGTTTTAAAATGTTCATATTCAAATCAAAATGTAAAATATAAGAACATCATGAGAGCATACTACCAAATAGAAACAAGGGAAATTGGAAACTATGTCTTTCTGCTGTGCACATTCAGGGAAGGCTGTCACCAGCAGAGAACGTTCATCTCCAATTCCACTAAAGGAGTGGTGGTGCGAAAAAATTAAGTAAAAAAGATAATCCATGGTAATATGATCCACACTGTATGACCTGTTGAGACACTTAAAGTGAATGACATAAACTTCTATTTATTGTCAAAAATCTTCTAAGATGAATAATTTAGAACCAGGTCAATATTTTTTTCCTTGAATTCCTGTGGATCATGTAAACTGTAAGAATCAATTGAATCTATGTGTCAAATAGTGTAGAACCCACCACTTAGTGGTCCTACTAGAACATATATGGCTAAAATACTGCTTAGCCACGTGTAAAAATATAATACATGTGTCTTGACTTAAAATTGCAAAATACTAGAAGGGATGTAGGAAAATAAAGCAGCAGGAAGATTAAAGATGGCAGCATGAGAGGAGAGACAGAGGCTTCCTCCTAAAACTGGATACAATTAGAAAATTTAATTGGTGCAACTAATCGTGAGAGAGCAATAGGAAAGAGGACTGCATCAGACTGCATACTCCTGAGAAAAGAGCAGACCACACTGAACAGGGTAACGTACCAGAGCTGTCACTCCCTGGGACCCAAGACCCTCCCCCACCCCAGCTCACTGGCGGGAGGAAGAGAAATGGAGCAGGGAGGGAGTGGAAGGCTTGGAACTGCTGAATACCTAGTTCAGGAGGTCTGCTCTGGGTGCACAAACCTACATTTCATGGTGCTTTCACGAGACTCACATGACTACTGGGTTGGAAATTTAATAAAAGCAGAGTTACTGGGGAGACTGGGATTCTGGCCACTTGTGGAAAGAAGGGATCCATATCCAGTGGCTCTGAGACAAAAACTTGTACCTGTGTGACTGGCCCACTGGCTCAGGCAGTGGAGACAGGTACAGCAGCCAGGAGGTGGGGAACAGCTCTTTCCTACTCCCCAGGCACCAGTACCACTCCCCTGCGACCCCTGACATTGCTTCAGGGGCTGAGCAGCACCACAATAGAGCTTCTGGACACTAGAGGGCTCCATATACAAACATGAAACACCAAAGAAGCCTTGTCCAGAGTAAAATTGTTAATACAACTCCTGAGAAAGATTTAAATGATATGGACCTTGTGACTCATCCTGAAAGGGAGTTCAAAATAAAAATCATCAACATCCTAATGGAGGTACG